ATAGTATTCGAAAAATATTAATCGTAAAATGTTTAATGGGAAATTCACCAAACTTGAATAGTTCGTGGAATATTTTTTTAATTATTACTATCGTGAACTTGATCGTAACTAGTGAACTATTCTTTTTACTTTTCTGACACTCCCTGCATTTATTATAGAGAACTGAAAAACTGATTTTTTACTACTTTATGGAGCAAAGTATGTTTTTTTAAATTAAAAGAGGCCGTTACTAAAGGGTAGTTTGGTATCTTGTTTTAGATGTATGTGAATAATTATTGGATTATTTTATTATTAATTTATTGTCAAGTTCTCTCATGAGTCCGTTTTACTTTACTTTATACTGATATACAGACGATGACCTTCGGGTTACACTAGAATCTCTCTTCGGGGTCATATTGAAATGAATCTCAAACGCTTCGCTCCATGTTTACAATCTATCAACGCATCAATATTTTAAGGGAATGTGTACTTTGAGCGTGGCGTTATCATTGACCTAGGTACATATTTAAATGTCTTTTAGTATTCAGCCGAGTCTCTTAATCCTCTAGATAAGATAAAAGGATATACGCCTTTGTGATGAATAGACACAAAGTTTTGCAAGTCGTTCTGGGTTAATCGTTAGTTTTATTATTTTTCACGTATACACATGTTTTTGCTGTATATTTGTGTGTACTGAAGGTATGTAAATTCTATTATAACACAACGACCAAAATAATAAAAAAAACCTTTTTCGTCCACCTTAACTGTATTTGTTAATTATAAATAATGGACTTGTACTATTTACACGTTGGTCTAAAATAAATGAGATTGCAACCGCCAGCGCCCCCGCCCCCGCACCTCTCAACACAAACAATGCGCTCCGAAATAAACCAACACTGAAATACATCGCGCCAGAATCGGAAATAGACAGCAAATATAAATAAAAGAGAAAGTGACGCGCAAGAAAAATAAGTGTTTTCGCTCTAGTATTAAATGTCGTTAATCATTTCAAATCGATGTTACCTTATTCTACCGTTAAAAGGTTCTTAACAACTTCATATGTAAGACATCTCACACTGACTGAGCGAACTGCTTTCTTAAAGGCCGACAACGCAATCGATGTTCTTGTTTTTCTAGCTCGTCTGCCTTATGTAAAAATACACAAAATGCCTAAATAAAAGTGAGTTGAATGAAAGCTTGGCATCACGCATCAGTAGTTCCTGTAGTGTTGCGGATGTCCATGGGAGTCGTTGACCACCTCTGTGTTCCCGCCCCACGTTTGGCCTTCTCGTATAAAAAAAACTTTTGCCTGGACGGCGTCATTCACCACGCCCACATTCTCCTCATTTATCGGTGATATTTCTTTATCTGATTAAAGATATTAACTGATCCGTGGGAATGTTTCTGATAGTATTTATATCGTAAGATAGTATAATAGCGATAAAACTGCATAGAATAAGAAATAGAAATTTTAGTTTTAAATAGTTATGTGACGAGACAATAGAGACATAAACCAGAAAGTGTTAAGATTGAATCTAACCATCCACAAAGGTAAAGGAAGACCGAAGAAAGTATGGATGGATTGTGTAAAAGAGGATATGCTTAAGAAGGGAATTGATTCAGATATGACAGCTAATAGAAATGTATGGAAGAGCAGCATACTGTATTGACCCACAAGTAATAAGGGCAAGTTGATGATGAGAACAGAAGATAAAATTACTTTCGATAATAGGTTTGAATGTAGGAGGCGCCAATTGTAATGCATGGTCAAACGAGCACTTACAGGCCAGGGTCCTGATACCTACAGCTACGTTTACAAGCCAAGGTTTTGGCAACGGACAGAATAATCCAGAGAATTATTATTTTAATTTCTTGTTTTGTTGTATATTTAGCTTTTGCTTGGCATTACTGAGTCTAATAAAGTGTTATAGATGTAAGAATTCTTCTATCCTTAAAGTCTGAACTATATCTATACTAATATTGTAAAAAGGAAAGATCTGTATTGTTGTATGTATTAAAATAACTCGACTACGGAGCTGTTTACAAAAAATCATTCACCATTAAGTAGGTACGTTATCAGGGAGTAACATAGGCATTTTAATTCACGTGGAAGAAGTCGCGAGCAACAGCTAGTTATTTGTAAATCATTAACTGTCTTGAACGTGAGCATAGAAAGTATAACAAATAAATGAACACTACTAGGCACTGACCTTTTTGTTCTACCGCACACAATCTTATCTTCTTTCTACATATCTTTTACGAGTGTATTATATGACCATTATTGTATCTATGATGGCGTTGTTATATGACATGTTTGTCTTTCAAACGTTTATTGTCTTAACATTTACTATAAACACAAGATGTTTGTTTTCGTATGTATTTATCACTGTTCGCAGTTACATCGCCGATTACCTTTGTGGTCGACCTTCAGCCACGTTGACGTTTACTACCTACCATAGTATCAAGTTCAGGGTTCAACTCTATAGATTATCAAATCATCATAAATTAAACCAATCGTAGGCAAATCGTAGCAGATCACACCAATTTAATCTATCTTTACTATTATCATAAAGCGTAAACACGCACTTCTTTGTTGCCTAAGATGTCGGCAATTACAGCATGTAATTAAAAATAATATCTTAATAAAAATCCCTACACTTGCGTCACGCTTTAGGCTATATATTTTAACGCTATTAAACTTAGGGGGTAAATATTTTAAATAGAAACCCTAATGTGGGAAAGAGACCATAAGTTGCTACCAACGTCAAGGAAGCAAGGTTGTCATTTAGTGACATGACATAATGGCAGTCGTTTTGACATTTGTAATTTGACAAATGTAAACAATAAAATAAAATTTTCATAAGTTCTCGCGGATGAAGTGGCACGGGAACAGCTAGTGTTAAATAAAAATGTGGATCGTTTTTAGTAGTGTTAATTTCGGATATTTTTATATCGCTGTAGCAATCGTTTTACGTCACACCATAAAGTTTTAGTACTCGTATTGACATCGGCTGCGGAAGGTCAATTTTACTGCATACTATATTGATCGGTTCGTTAACAGCCCATGACGATATCCGCCTCGTATTCGCAAGTTCTTTATTTGTTTATGACATCGCCTGTGCAGGATAGGCATTCTCATTTTGTCTTTTATGTTATGCGGGTCACCGAGCTATGAATGTTTAGACACGTCTTCACTGAGTTTTACAGAAATACAGTTTTAAATAGTTTTGCGAATTTTTCCATTCTTAAAATTAATGACATTTTCATGTGCGTTTTGTTACACGTTGATGAACTTTAGAAATTAATTACATGTAATTTAGTTTAAGACTAAAGTGTTTTAGTTCAGGCCTCACTGCGTTTTTGCTGGAGATTCCGATTCGATTGGCGCCGTAGATAAGTGAATGTATGTCAACTAGTCTAATGAGACATACCATTTCGTGTCCAAGTTGCATACATTCTAAAGTTTGTGATTACGTCACCGAAAGGATTTGTAATTGTTGTAATTTGCTTGTGTTTGTAATTTGCTGTCCACTCTAAATTTTGAGTTTACATGATCAGGCTACGGGGTACACAATCTTGTAATTGATGTTCGACTCGCGAGCATCAAGGCCGTTTGCGTTTATGAATGGTACCGTAACGCGAATGCGCCGGTTACCATCGGCTATCTTACCTCCGCGTGCTGACATAACACGTGATAACGCAAACGTGATACTCTAATAACATTTTCATACTGTACAGTTATTGCAATATAATACACAACGTGATAATGATTATTTTCTCATTGTTTCCAAGCACTTCAGTGTGGGGATATATAGTGACCTAATGATGATAATGATAATGATTGTTTGCTATACTATTTTATTTTATAGTTTTTGACTTTGGTCTTGTCATACTTAACTTAGGGTAGGTTTTAAACTTCTTGGTGAGGATTTGTGTTAATTAACAATAATAGTGAATATAACTAAATTTTATGATATTATTTCATTTGTTTATTTATTTACAATAGGAAGCCAACGTATCACATGAAATAAGTTATGTTTGATGAAGAAAAATATTTATAACTAAAACACAATATGGATACACTTACAGGCTAACACAACATTATGGTAAAAAAACAAATGTTTTTACATGACAAAGAATGAAGAACACATCTGAATAACATCCAAAACGAAATCTATTTTCCCAATGTGACTTTACTTTTTTGTTTGCAAACATATTGGATGCCAATTTCATTACAGTGGTGCATAAATAACTGATAGTCACGGGACTTTAAAATTTTACTAATTATATCCAGCTTGTGTCTATTACCAAAAACTGTTTTACAAAAAATACAAAGTTATGAAGAGTGAAATTAATAAAGTAAAATACTTTAATACTGTAAAATGTTTTGTAGGAAAAATAAACATCTTCGGGAGACAGTGATTTACCTCAGGTTATAATTTTAGCATATGCTGATGTCACCGCGCTTTATGCTGTTCATATTAGATGGTGTGACACAAATAAAACTCGCTTGTTTATTAAAAATGTATTTATGTCTACGTTAAGTACAATGCAAACTAGTCTTCCGATTTTTTTATTATTTACTGTACTATTAGCTGTTGCCCGCGACTTCGTCCATGCATATAAGAAAAAAAAGTTGCCTATAATATCCTCGTCTATGTCAGCTACCCTTTAGGGAAATGGCCCAGCCGTTTGATTATCCGGAACAAACGCGGCTTGCGGACAGACAGGCAGACAAAATTTTATACACGCGATTGTTGTTATCAGCAACGCAAATGCATTATCTTCCCGAAATCTGGAAACTTTCTTTTGTTATTACAAACAAACACTCCAATTTTATTATATGTATAGATTTTCAACGACAGATATTTATTTAACATATTCACAGTACAGTGAGCCTTGTTTTCGAGGTGAAAATTGTCCTACTTGTGCTACTGATAAAAAGTCTTAACCTTCGTTTTTATCTTAAAAGAAACATTAAAACGTCCGGTAACTTTGCTAAAAAACAAACCTATTCGTTTTTATCAGTTTGGTTATTCCATTTGTATACGAAAAGTCGAGATTTATTATCTTGCTGACTGCACCCACTGACTCGGAGCAAAAACACGGAGAGAAAGTCAGTTAGTTGTGAGTTGCGACCAAACGTTAAGAAGTGACAGGCGTTTGTCCGGCCACCTGTGCAGTACAGTGAAATTTTAATAGTAAAAGTTGATTGTTCCCCTCATTAGACTAGCCCTGTGTGTGATAAGCTCTAGCTCATTTGTAGGAGGTGAGGCCACGTGAAGTGAAATATTTAGTTTGGATGCCGTATCGACAATACTAGATTTGTGTAACGTCTAAGAAGCTACAAGCTTGAACAAGGATGTTGATGTAATGTGAAGTGAACAACAATATAAAACTGTGTATATGTTAGTGATATTGTAGATTTGATCGGACTTATAGTGAATCATTAATTAAATTTAAATTGGTGCTCGATAAAAGAATTGATGAAGTAAGTTTAGTAGTTTGGAATAGTGTTGGGAGTGTGTCCAAAATGTTGGCGTCATCGACTTTATCGGCGAGTCTAAATCGTCATTCATTATCAAGCATGTTCCAGAAACGAACGAGACCCATACTGACGGTAATTTCTTTTTTAACTTTATGAGGAAACAAGTAGACGTTTATTAGTCCAGGAATTACTTAATGCTTGGCGTTCATATCTCGAGCAACTTTTGACTAATTGTCCAGCTGTAGGGGCCAGTTGTAAAAACAGATTGTAAATAAACTAAAATAATTTATCGAAAGTCGGATTGTTATTATCCATTTTGGTTAATCCGATTAAATAGTTTTTAGAATTTTATTATATTCTATCTATTGCTCGCGACTTTGTGTAAATTGAAAAAAAAGAATAGCCCATGTTACTGCTTGATACGTAGCTTTTTAATGGTGAAAGAATTTTTGAAATCGGCCCAATAGTTTTTGTTTTATTTCAATACATACAAAAATACAAATCTTTATTATTTTAACCAGATTTCGCTAAAAAGTAAGTAGCCTATGTCCTTTTCTAAACTATCCTCTACATCTGTACCTAATTTCATCGAAATCCGTTCAGCCGTTTAGGCTACAAACTCTAACAAACATCCGTCCATCCATCTAAACTTTCGCATTTATAATATCTGTATTATGTAGACGTAGAGTTACACTACTGATTATTATCTACTCTATGTTTATTTATGTTTTAATGTAGGATGTGGTGAAATTACGATGCATCAGATGCTATAAATTTGGAATGCGCTTCGTCATGACGTCATTCATCCAGTTCCTTGTGAACTGTTATTTATTTATTCATGGACGGAGTTGCGGGCGAATGCTAGTCTGAAATATTTATGATAAATCGCTTTTAGAAATATTAAAGGAACGAACTGCGAAATAATTGAACGTAATGTTGACTGCTCTTCAATTGTATTTTGTAGGCTTTATTTTGCTGTACATTCGACTTTGAAGCGATAATACAGAAGGTCACTACTGTGAAATGACAATTATCTGCTGCTTAGTTTCGAGAAATTTAATTTATTCGTATGTTTTTCACGTATATGCTAATGTGTAAAAGTCCCAAAGAGGCGTAGAATATAGTATATCTTGTATGTATGTATGTATGATCAAGTTTATTGATAACTAGCCGTTGCTCGCGACTTTGTCCGCGTGAATTGAAAAAATATGTAGTAGTTACTTAAAGATAACATGACTTTTTAATGGTGTAAGAATTTTTTAAATCCGTCCAGTAGTTTTTGAGGCATACAAAAAGCCAAAAATTCATTTTTTTTCCTCTTTATACGATTAGTATAGAGAATGTAATTCATACTGAAATGTTGCCAAAATATAAACTATATCTTTTATATTAGAAGGATGTTCCAGTAAAAATATATAGGATAAGGATAATAAGTCTATCAAGGCCGAATTCTTGATACATATTATTCTTATCTCTATTTTTTCATAGAGTATGCTAGGGATGACTGTGTCAATACAAGTTTATGACAGTGGAAACACAGAGTTACATTTAGGCTGGCGTCTCGTGACATAAACGGGTATTGTAACATGGATACTTTATATGATAATTTTGTCGTATAGTTGTTTTATTTATACGTTCCTATTTAATACTTTTTCCTTATTACAAATGGCAACTATACGTGATTAGTGTTCGTTGTTATAGAGCTCTAGCTTCTAGTCGATTTAAGTATAATAAATGAGAAGGTTTAGCTGGATGGATGGATGTTTGTTAGACTTTGTAGCCTAAACGGCTGGACGGATTTCGATGAAATTTGGTATGGATGTAGATGATAGTCTGGAAGAACACATAGGCTACTCAGTTTTTTTTTTTAATTCCACGAGAACGGAGTCGCGAATGCTAGTTTTAAAATATTTGTCATTTGGAAGAAGGAAAAATGTACGCGTTTGTAAATAAAACAGACCAATGTGTTTTTTGATTTGTTAGTTTTTAAATTTAATAAGGTAACTAACGGCTGATTACTGAAACTAATCTTAAATATTACACTTTGTAAGCGCCGCTTAATATCTGATAGACGTAATTATTATGGAGTTTAAGCGTGGCTTTATCATTTTAGATTGTTACATATTTAAATGTCATATCAATATTCGGCCATATGTTAAAAATGTAGTCGTATATGGTTTTGCTTTCATAGTGCAACCTTTTACATATAACGTTTCATTAGAGTAATAATTTAGAATATCACATCTCATTGTGTTCACCGTAAATAATACAGCTGCGACCGTCGTCTCAATTAAAACCTCATCTTAAGTCGTTAAGATAAATATACACTCTGTACGTCGGAACGGAATATAATAATAATACCTAATACTAATATTATAAATGCGAAAGTTTAGATGGATGGATGTTTGTTAGAGTTTGTAGCCTAAACGGCTGAACGGATTTCGATGAAATTTGGCATTGACGTAGAGGATAGTCTGGAAGAACACATAGGGTACTTAGTTTTGTTTTTCTTAATTCCACGCGGACGGAGTCGCGGGCAAAAGCAATATTTATTTAAATTTGAAATACAAAACCCTGTGTCGTAACTCAAATACCTTGAATGTATTTTTAAATAGAGTTTAGAAGCAATCGTTTCGACAGTTTTGACAAGATAGGATATGTAATTTTTAGAAAGAATATCTAAAAATTTAGCTTTTTAAAATATTTTTAATGAAAAATATTTTAAAAAGATGATAATGAAAGATATCTATATAAATGTTACGAAGTTTAGAATAAAAATTAAATGGAATTTGAAAACTGTTTAATAAAAAAAAAAACAATATGAACTAAGTGGTTTTTCAATTAAACAGGGACTTGTTTAAGTCCAACTTTATCTTCCCAGCCTTATTCCGCTCACTAGGGCAGGGGGAAAAAATGTATGCATCAAAGTGCCATTTATTTTTATGAAATGTTTAGTGCGGTCTTAGACGTGCCATTGAATAATTTTGACTGCGATTATTACGTCTATTCCAGGCTGCACCTGCTTCATATTTTTTCATAGCCTCTTTATGATTAACGTGCCCAAAATATTATGCGTGTGCCATTTGTGACTCGTGCCAGTGGTTCGCCACGTCTGCACTAGGGTCTGCAAAAATATGTATCTCTTGATTGACGATTGAGGTCACATGGACGCATTTACAACGTTCGCCAGCTTGAATCAAGACAAAGGAGCGCTGGAGAGTGGTTTATTTGTGGCCGTTCGCTAAACGTAGACGGACCTAGGACTAACGTAGTACACGCAGCCCACCCTTCTTGGAGGCCCTAGTAACTCCATGGAGCGTCCATTGAAGCGATCTAAGAGCTCGGTGACCCCTAATCCGGTAGTAATAACGAAGTAACGGCTCGTGCCGAGGTTCCTGAGGGAGCCCTCGAGCCTAGTTACTCATAAACGAGGTTTACGTTAAGCGCCATCTGTGCTCGTCCACCTCAAGCCCGGTGAATCTGTAAATGCCTCTTTAAGGCAAACAGTGGCCATTCAGTCACAATCAATCATCAATCCACGCATTTTAAAGGTTACGTGAAAATTTGTAACATTCTTTGGATGATAGAGTTAAGATGTGGAGTGCTACCGTATTGAATTAATTGTCATATGAATTTGTAATATCATGGGAGATGTTGACAGAAAAATTGTGTCAAAAAAAATATTTAACGATTACAGAAGTTATTATTATTTTGTTTCAATTATTCTCTTGTGATGTTTACTCCCGGTTATTGATGTTTATTACTCCCTCAGGGCCTTAATTGGTTTATTGACGGAAGTTAAAGTAATACGTTTAATGGAAACGTTAATCAGCTTGTGAATTGGGATCTGTCAATTGTTGGAATATACTTATTATGTTTTATTACCCTTTAAAAGAAATCTTGTTTTCTGCACGTTTAGTTATAACTCCTTATATCTTGCAACTAGCTGTTCCCGTGCGACTTCATCCGCATGTAATTATGAAAATCTTATTTTATTGTTTACATTTGTCAAATCATCAATTACAAATGTCAAAATGACATGACATGATGACAACCTTGCTTCCTTGATGTTGGCAGCAACTTATGGTCTCTTTCCCACATTAGGGCTTTTATCCAAAATGTTTACCACCTAAGTTTAATAGTGTTAAAATATATAGTCTAAAGTGTGACGCAAGAGCTTTTTATTAAAAAAAAGAATTATTCAAAAATATGCTGTAATTGCTGACTTCTTAGGCAACAAAGAAGTGTGTGTTTACGCTTTATTATAATAGTATAGATTACTGCAAGCAACAATCAAGAACGACTTATGGTTTATTTTTTAAAATAGATATCATGATCGATTCATTTGGAGTTTAGGTAGCAATCTGTCGAAGTTAAGAGTGTTTGAGTAACTCGGTTCACGAGTATACCTGTTAGATAATTCGATTGGTTTTCAAAATCAGTGTATTTACTTCGACACCTTTCTATCGTATCAATTTAATCACAGTTTTACGTAACTGTTACAGCATTAAATATGTAACGCATGTCAAAATAACTCGTTAGTGTTGTTACGCTTCGGTTTATCGATAACGAATCGATTTGATGTAGGTTAGTGAAGGTATCGTTATCAACGACGTCGTACCGGTTTATCTTTTTAATTTCACTAACGACGGAAGACCTCTTGAACAGGACATTCACCTGAAGAAAGGTGACCTGCCTCATGTTGTGTTTGTCATGTTATTTTATGTTAGAAATATTCTTTAATTACTGAAGGCGTAGAAATCGTGGTAGACGTTTGTAGGTAATTTCTAAAGTTTGGAGTCGACAATGACAAAATGTACAAATGTTTATATAATTGAAAAAAGTAGCCATGTTTAATCCTATTTTTTCCTATAAAATCTAATTAAAGCTGTAGAAAATTCTGAAACTTACAAAGTAGACGGTAATTTTAAACTTGGTCTGATTATTTGAACTGCAGCCTTGTAAATGTAACGGAGAAACTTTTTTAATTAACCCTCTACAAGGGTTGCGGTGTTTAAGCTTAGAGAGCTTCTGGGCTTTCGAATGATTTTATCTAAGTTAATTATTATAATATTTCGAATTATTACGATAGTACCCACTTAAGATTGATAGGAATGAATAACAACCCTGCAGCACAGGGGAAACTAGTGCAGCAGTCATATGTAATTTAACCAGTGTTTAATGATAACGCATGTTCTTATTTTATTTACTGGTTTTATACTAAAAATGTAGGCTGAAAATGTGCCCAATTAGCATAAGAAAATTACGAAACATTTTACGTCATTACCTATGAAGCACAGGTTATGACGTAAAATGAATGTACGCGATTTCCGTCCGCTTCTCTTGGTTTATTTTTACTCTCGCATGACGTAATTGTTACTGACATTGCCATTTAAAAGAAATTAAAGTAAGCTCTATTGGAAAGTAGGTGTTGGATTTTTTTATTTCAATACTGTATGTATGTAGCATTAGAAAAATTGAAAATATTCTCACAAATAGATCTCGGTCACTCAGGTATTTTTCTCTTGCAATCTCGTTTTAGCTTTTGAAAGCTAGATACGTTTTATAAGCGGGCTGAAGTATTGTACAAATATAACAATCCATCGAACAATCTCGAGAAAATTATATTTGCCAATGAGGTTTGGCGTGGTAACATTGTTTACAATGCATACAACAATCCAATGTTTACATCCTTCTCGTTCTCTACGAAAAAATAGAGAAAACAATGTGTTTTTGCATGTGTTTCGGCAGTGGGGACACGATTACATTAATAAAAGTGGACAAGCCACATCGATATAGGGAACTTTAATGTCGATCAATCAGCTCTCCCCCGGGATACTGTAAGGGTCAACTTGTTATGTTGATTTGTAGAACAACTCTCAAGGGTATTACGCAATTTCGTCGAATTGATTACTGTTAATATTGACTTTTATTATGGTTTTTTATGTAAGTTAAAACTAAGCAATGGTTATTAAGTATTTAGAAAAAATAGCATTTTAATCGAATTTTCTTATTTTTTAAATCTTATAACATTGCTTACATGTTATATTTCCTCAAAGTAACAAGCTACGCCAGCACTGTTTACATTTGGCGTTGCGGAAATGAGTTGTGTAATTCTATTTGAATTCCACTAAAAGCTGTTTACTCAATTTTGTTTCATCTCGCCGTAATGTTAAGGTTAAAATTAGAAAATAAATTTGTTGTACCTCATGCGTTTCTACTATATTTGGCAATAAAATAAACACATACATACATAACAAATTGTTTTGTAACGGCCGTACCTAGAGTCTATTTAGTGTGTATTTTGATACCCAAGCAAAGGAGTCCTTAAGGAAGATTTGGACTGAGAAATCCATACTAAAAGGTTGCTTAAACCACTCACTTTACATTCAACAAGTCTCTTAGGATGATGTATGTCGTAATATCAAATTAGTGGATTTAACTTTTCTAGGTATTTTATAACAGTCTTGTATCATCAGGGCCGTCCAGAGAAGCCACTGCCTGCGTTGTCGGCGCGGCCACCGCCCCCCACAGCGATAGTTCCCCGCGCGGCGGACGGCCCACGCCCGCCAGGATGGAACGGCCAGCCTCGACGACACGGCTCCAGTAGGTTTAATGTGCAACATCACAATCAGGAGCTCGTCAAATTACCGCCAATCAAAGGTAAGTCAGATCCTAGTGGGTGTTCTCTATTAAGGGGGTGATAGGCCAAGGAATGAACTCCGGAGATAAACTAATATTTACACTATTCTATATCTTCGTGTTAGAAGGAACTGTAATGTTGGACGTCCTAAGTTAAATCATTAAAGACTGGTACGATGATTCGAAAGTTCAGTAGTTGTTTTCTACATCGTAAATAGAATTCCAGAAACTTTGTTTCAAGTACTCAAGAAAAGCGAAACGTATATAAAAGTCGTTATTAATAACCGTTAAATCAATTAAAATAACCATCGGTTGTGTAACAACTGGTTTGAACGATCACGCAACACGCACTATCTTACCCGGTTTAAAGTGCGACAATTTAAAACGTTATTTTTATATTAAATTCAAAGAGGACCAGATTTATGACCACTGCTGTTGAATGTAGTTGGCTTGATTTTGAACTGAATTTTTTTAATAAATCTCGAACATGAATTGTGTTCCAAACTTCAATTTCTTTATGGTGTCCTAGTGTATTCCAAGCTTAATTAAGGTATGTATCTTACGTGCTTTGTGTTTGTTTCTTGAACATTGAAATACACAAGAACATTAACAGATTCTCATTAAATCCGTTAGATGTCGCTTATATTAAAGCGGTTAGTGTGTCGTAGTGAGCTGTAAATACCGCAATAACGGCTTGCTGATGATCTACTGTTGCGAAAGTACTTGGGATAAACACAGCTTATACTCTGATAGCTTAAGGAAAGTGATCATATACACGGCAACTATCTTCCATTCTAGGCGTGCGTATGTGGAAAATAATGAAATAACAATCGCGTAACATTAGAACCGCTATCCTTAGTTGACCACCATCTTAATTGATAACTTCACAACACACTCTAATCGAATTGCAAAAATTTACAGAGATTAACCAATTGATTTTATAATAGCAAAGTGCATCATTCCACCATCCAATGACAACTGTCATCAGTCATTCTATCATCGTCTTATCTATCTATCATGCGCGATGCACATTCAGCCAGTATTCAAAATTATTAGTTGCCAGTAACTTTAATCGTTCAAAAATAAACAAACATTTCGCCCCGTTATATTTATAAATTAAAAATAACTGGCTCTTAGGGAACCTTATGTCTGAGTGTGGTAGTGAGAGATAAGTTTTAGCTCATGATATACATGAAAATACTTATGCAAATAATTTGTGGTCATTTGCCAACCCTAATAATAAGGGCGCTTACGTCATAACTGTGACACTCACATAAAAGACCTCAAGTCTACTTGTCAGTCGGGATTTAAAAACTCGACATGCAAAAGCGCCTGTCTTTTATATACCGGTAAGGTTTTGTTCTGTAATTTTTGCTCATGAGAAACCAAATAAAACATTATTGTTGGAATAAAACGTACAAACTAATGTTAGATGCAAATTTGAAATCACTGTGGAAACATTTGGATGTTTGTTTGTCCCTGAAAGTACTGAACCGATCTCAAAAACTCTTTCGCCGTAAGAAAGCTATATTATAATTGATTCGGGCTATATTTTACTCCAATAGGTAGGGTGTGGATATGACAGAAAAGGTACGAGGCGAATATTGTTTGCCAGCAAGGCAAAGCAGGGGCAGATCGCTAGTCAGTAATATAAAGTTAAATATTTTTATACATTTTCTTCATAATAAGAATCGTTTTCTCCCCCTCGTGTTTAGTACATTGACATTTACTTTGACTAACTTGGTCCATTGTTGACATGACAAAGGGCACTTTGTCAAAACATTTTTCAAAGAAGGCTTTCAACTTGGAGGGTGAATCTTAATTTTCTTCGACGACGTTTTCTTTGATTTTATCGTTTAGTTAAATCATACGGATGAAAAAAATAAATTAAGTAGTTCTTCATAAGGTTTTACGTCAAATGTGGACAATCGAGCTTATGCTGAAGGTCTAATATCTACCCAATAGGTGTTTACTCTTGTAAGATTGAGGTCAGAAAGATAAAAGAAATATAACCATAATATTTGCATCTACCCGACACACTGACACGTGGCCTAAAGGTACCCACAACATTTCTATGTTCGTGATGAATGCTTTCAATTTGTTAGAACCAGGTCGTACGTAGAATGAAATGGCACACGCCCCACGGCTTTCCGCTCCGCTTCCTCACTACAGCATCTTTCCGCTACAGCGCCGCCAGCGAATTCTGTAAGCTTTGTGCCCTTTGCTAAGGTAATGTGCTCAGCGCTTGAAGATTCACGCTTCCTGTTTAATGAACTAAATACATGCTCAGACCTACGCTTATCATTAGCATATATGGATAGTATATAGTTTCATAATGTTCTCCTGTTTGTTTTTGTAACTATGAATTAGAGGTTATCTTACGGTTTTGCCAAATTAATCAAAATTATTTGTTTATCTGTGCATTTAATTAAAAGATTCAATACTTGTAAAGAAATGTAGTACGATAACCCTTTATAAGAACAAGTTTTTAGACTTGATTATCGATTTACTGATGTCACCAAATTTTTAATTGTTATTTACAGCTTGTAAGATTATGAGAACCATATTTAGTCTTTAATTTAGCTTAGTTGAGTCAACAATGAACCTCTTGATATCGGTATCCGGATGCCTTTTATCTTAATTGTTCAACGATGACCCTGAACATACCATGAAGGTTAAATGAACAGAACCGTAAGTGTAAAAATCTACTTAAGTTTTTTTTCACCATTTTTTTAAATCAAAAGAGTATAGGCACAAAGGAGATGCTACGCCGTAGTAATTAGGTCTACGAACGTTAGGGAGTTAATTAGTTACCACTGTAGGGTGGTTCATTAAAAATTCAAACACTGCCATAAAGCGCGATGTAACTAGACTGGATTGTGTTAAAGTTTTCATGTATTCATTTCACTTTTGGCGTTTTTACATATTGTGATCCTTTCTGACATAAAGTAAATTCAACCTTTCATTATTTCCTTCAATTTTAAAGAAATATCTCGTGAACTATGTCCACATACAATATTCTGATCTTCTAAATTTTAGAAAGATAAAAAAAATGTTGTGCAAAATGCCGGTACAACACCTGCCCCTTAGGCTCAAATAGATTAAAAATGACGTCACTGTCAGATAAGGTAACAAAATCCGATATTTCCATCATATTTCACACGTTGGATTGTTATCAGGCAATTTACAATTTGGTGGGACAGGTCCTAATAGTTTATAGTGACACCTAATCCACTCGTAAAAAACACTATTAGCCACTTTGATTTGCATAATGGTGTGATAAGGTATAGCATACCGGGCCCTGATTGCGCCTTGTAAAAGCACAAGGACGTGTGGAAATTATGTCAATTGTCGGAACAGAAATTAGATTCCGTGGAAGTGGTTCGCACGGAAAATACAAAGCTGTGTCTATACACGTTCTAAAGGCGGAATTCCATTGTAGAAACACTTGTATTGAAACAACTGCTGTCTCGATTTTTACAAAGAAAATGAAAAAGATGATTGTTTTATAAGTGTCTAATGTTAAAGTACATTAAAATGTTTCCTAATTATTATTCATATTGAATGCATAAGATAGATTTTTATATAATTGTTTACTCCAAAATGGGTACTTCTTTTTATAATGCTTTAATTCACTTTTATTAACTTTCTAATTGGATATGAACTTGTCTTGTGATCTGCAAGCCCTGAGGTCGTATCCCGCTTCCTATGTCATCATCTTTCTCCTTAACCTACTCACGTAGGGTCGGCGCAACAGCTTTTTATCCTCCACATAAGTCTATCATACGTCATCTCAGTCATCAATCCCTTTTTGATCATGTCACCTTTTACGCAATCCATCAATCTCTTTGTAAGTCTATCTCTACCGATGTACCCTTCCACACTCATAATCTTTCCTATGTGATAGGGAGAATGAAAAAATTGGATGCAACCTTGCACATATCTGCTAAGAAATTGAAAGATATGTGTGAAGTCCACTACTGGGTGCATATGGTTGACTCATAGTCGCCTCTAACTTAGAGTATGTATCGACCTCCTTAATAGTGACGCATAGTAAGCTAATAATGAATATTACCTTCCGTTCTAAACAGGTTGTTCATGTATGTATTGTTAATTCTGCATGTATTCCATTTATAGCCACGTCAACACAACTAATGCAGTGCAATCTATGTTACTATTAAATTCTATTCAGTTGGCAGCACTGACGGTTTGGCATGACTTCGCTTTATCAATTTTATATATGCTAATGCTTCGCCACTTTGCAACGGAATAATAAATCTTACAAATAAACGAAGTGTTAATACAACTCTACAATGTATTGAAATAGATGCTAGTTGTGAATGCACCCTGTAAGCTTATCTTACAGTGTTATTTTATCGATGTTTCTTCACGTTATTAGTTATTTTCTGCGATATTTCAATAATGCAATAATTCGTAATCGGTACAAAAACTACATACAACCGAAATCTTGCTAATCTTACTTCTTACTATATTAATCATACTTCATACTAATATTATAAATGCGAAAGTTTAGATGGATGGATGTCTGTTAGAGTTTGTAGCCTAAACGGCTGAACGGATTTCGATGACATTTGGTATAGATGTAGAGGATAGTCTGGAACAACACATTTTTCTATTTTTTTTTAATTCCACGCGGACGGAATCGCGGGCGAAAGCTAGTATTAATATAATTTTTAATAGTACAGTTAACTAAGGGCCTATCTTATTTGCTAATGTTCTTTTAATTGATATATGTATTAAATGTAAAAACAGTGTTACGCAAGTCATTTGCCCGCCATGTCAGTAGCAAGGATAATAGGCAGTGGAATGGCGGAATTGAGCTGCACCATTTAAGGTCCATTAAAGCGATCGATGGTGCAATGAAGGGGGCGTCTGGTACACACACCCCACACACGGGGGCAGCGTCGACGTCGCCGTCGCCCCTACAACCCAACACAGACATCCCTCATTGTATTCTAGGAAATCTTAAGCCGGTGACGTATCGACGGTGTAATTTTTTA